TAGCAAAGGCAATTTGTATTGAGAGGCAGTGTAACACATTTATGTGTTCTCTCTCAATACAGTGCTAAAATTTATTCCTAAATACATATAAAATTAAGGTATGTTAATGTATTTGATGTTCAGCAAAGCTAAAGAGACTAACAATACAAAATGAGATAAAAATTTATTTTATTGGTGTATAGGGATTACAACGTAGATTGGCACCCAGTTCTATATGTATGTACCTCTACTTTTCTTTATCATACCCATGTTTGCCTGCTCTTGGCAATAAAGGGGAAGGCAGATAATCTATTAAAAAGCCTTGAATAATATTGAAATGATCTTTTGAACTATAAACTAAGTAGAGGAATTTCAGTGTATCTATTAGTATTAATTTGTATCTTGGGAATTTTCAACCTAAAAGATCATACATTTGATATTTCTATGGAACAGCCAGTGAGTATTTAAAGGGGATAATGTATATGAAATCACAAATAAGTCACCTACATTGAGTTAAATTTCTATTCTACCTTCTAGTTTTTTTCTTTCAAAGAAATATTGAAACCAGGTCACTTCTGCTTTCAATTTTTATAGTAATTAAATAATCAACTGTTTCCTATTTAGATTCTCTTTTGCTTCTGTTGCAAAATTTCATTTTATCTCAATATCTTCACATAAGCTAATCAATAGAATTATCTTTTGTATGTGAACAGTATCCATGCTTTATATGGAGAAAAACCATTTTGGATAAGTTGAAAATTGATTCAGGTCCTTGAAATCAAAATTTAATATTTTGTTCAGGGGAAAAACGTCTTCCTATATTCTATATAAAGCTTTCCATGTTGCAATTATTTTAAGAAACTGCTGTTGTGAAACAGAGTGGAGTAATATTCCTTTTGACCTTTGACTATGAATGCATGACTTAGCTTTTGGCCTTCTTTCTAACAACACCCCAGAGTGCAGAAGTGCTTTCCAATGTGACATGTATTTGAATATATCTTGCTCAAAGGATACATTTGATTTGTAAATGTATCAAGAACAGATTCTAAATAGGTTGAAACTTGCATTTGTCTGGTTCAGGAATATTATATAAATGTTGTCTTTAGTTTTTTTTCTATTGGTATTATTGCTCAATCCAACAGATTTTTAAAACTTTGCCAAATAGAAGAGCCACAAACTCTGAATCCCATCTTCATTTTTTCTCTCATCCATAGTGTAGGTGTCTTGAACTCTGATTTCAAACACTTTTTCCTGACTTGTCTCAGCAGATGTTAACAGAAAATACAACTGATTACAGAGTTAAAAACATGTCCTGCTCTATACTTTGCCGCATGTGAAGCACGAGAGCTGATCTTTCTAGATTGAAATGTTGTCTATAATCCTACAGTTGAAAGTATTGATTTGCAAAACATGGAGGCCAAATCTTTATCAAGATTATGTTCAGGAATTAAAAAAAGCTTTCAAAGAAGAAACAAAAATCTTACTTTTCTAATAGCCATATGCTAGGATAGGCTCAGAAATAGATCTTGGAAGATTCATCCATATTTAGTCTATTATCTACCTTTTCATCTCTCCATTTGTGCTTAGCATTCACTTTTAAGGCAATATTACATGGTTGTTCACAATCAGATAAAAGTAGGGAGTAATCTGCATTTCATTTCATTCAGTATTTTGTATTTTGTCAATTCCTGCGTGGTCAAAATGGATTGTACTTACCCCTCCCCCCATTATTTTATTGAGTACTAAAGCAGTGAACACATTGTTTTGAGCGTGTACAATATGCAGAAGATAGAGCCTCGCCCAGCCATTCTAAATAGGTAAAAACAAAACAAAACAAAAAACTGAATGAAATTTTAATGCACAGGATAATAATTTACAGTTTAGTTTGAATAAAATGCATTATATTGAAGCAAAGTAATTAGAGCTGTAGTTTACCTAATAATTGCTACTAATTGCTTTCAAGGGATTAGATGTCCCCCAGCCCCATTTTTAATAGCCGTGGAATTATTTTACCCTACCATAGCATTAGTGGTGTTAATACTAATGATTTTTATATTTTCCTTGCATAGTTCAAAATGTCATCTTGTTAACAAGAATTCTTTATCAGAGATAGAAATTACATATTACTAAATTGACAAGATTACTTTGTTATCTGTTTTTCATCTCACTAACAAATGATGCCAATTGGAATATTTCACTGCCTTTGATTTAAGGAAAATCAAATGATATTCCTTCTCTGAATATATGGTCAAATTAATTTTGGTCTCCTTTTTTTAAACTAGCCTTGATAATGAAATAGAATAGTCATGTACAAGTAAGTTAAAGTGACTTAATTAATCTCCTAAAATATTAAATCATATTAAAGTTTATTTTCTGAAATTAGAATGTATGTACTATCATTTAATCTTCTTTCTTCTCATTCAACAGAGAAATGACGAAGAGGCAGTTGTGGATAGGGGTGGAACTCGTTCTATTCTCAAAACACACTTTGAAAAAGAAGACTTAGAAGGTAAAATTTTTTTCCTCCCTTGAAATAGCTATTCTTAAAGTGTTTCAAAGAGAAATATGAAATTTGTCACAATGTCGAGAATTGCAAAAGTTGATATCAGAGTAATGATGGTGGTGGTGGGTGGTGGATATAATTGTTTTGGTGCAGTCTGGAATACCAATAGCCAGACCTGTAACAAGAAGAATATTCTCCAACAGTCATTTACTGAACGTCTCCTGTATTCCAGGCACCGTGTGGTGTGCCAGTCTTTTAGTAATCATTGTTTCAATGAATTACAATCAACTGGGGAATGAAAAGAGAGAAAAATATGACAGACCAGCATATTTGGTGTGATGTGAGAGGGGAGAAGAGGACAGGAGGAACATCTAACCCAACCTGTGTTCTCAGCGTAGGCTGTCACTGGAAGAGAGTTAAAGACATGGTATTCTAGTTTTACTCAGATATATATGAGAGAGAGGCAGAGGCACCATTTGTGTTTGTTCTGTTCAATAGGAAGAAGGTCAGATAATTCAGCAGGGAGGTAGTGTGGTCTAGTAGTAGTTAAGTCTACAGGCTCTGCAACCAAAGTGCACTTGGGTTCAAATACTAGTTCTGCCCCTTATTTGCCATGGAAACTTTAGCCAGTTAGTTAACTTCTCTGCACCTCATTTTTCTCAATTGTTAAAATAAGGATCGCAATGGAATATATTTCCTAAAGTTTTTATGAGAATTAAGGGGAAAACACTTAGAATAGTATCTGGCATAGGAATTACATAAGTATTGACAATCATTACACCACAATTTAATGTACACACACCATTAGGTTTTTGTGTGTGTGTGTGTGTGTGTTTGTTTTTAACCAGAAAGTATTACTAGTGAGATACAAGGTATATGGTACTTTTCATTTTTTGGTTGAATAATGAAACCCGGGTAATCCTAAGTAAAACTAATCAGAGATAGTTCCTAATAATCCACCACAGCTGAGAAGTAAGGGTTTATTCCTCTGAAGAATTGTAATGTAACCACTTAATTTACAATTAAGTTCATTGTTCTTAGGTTTTATCTTTAGCCACAACAATTAAATAACAAGAGAATTAATATAATATTTAGAGGTGACTTTCAACAATTATACCTACTCCATGCCTGACATTTCGCTTGGTGCACAGATGATACCCAGATCTGGGAAGATTAGACTTATTGGGTGTACACAGGGATTTGCTATGCTATCCATATTCATTACACAAATTGAAGGAAAACAAACTTGAAAAAACCTGACTGATAGTGGATAATAAGATAATTACTCTTTGGATTTGAAATGCCATTATATCATATATTTTTTTCAGCAGCAGATTTACCTTCCTACCTGTCATGACTTAAGTTATGCTTGTATTCACTAAATGCACAAAAGAAAGCCTAATAAATCATGAAGCTGGTCTAAAAGTATACTCCATTCTAGGGAAAAGCCATCTTGGGTTTAAAGACTATGATAAAGCACACAGAGATAATTGGAAGTTAACAGTTAATAACTTACAAATAATTACAGAAAAATACTGAATGGTCCCTTTGCATGGAAAATACATAATACAAAAATAACATTTAATGAGGCCATTTGGGGGTCGAATGACCCT